CAGTTTAAGTAAGTTCGTTTTTAGGATTTGTAGAGGTGTAGTTTGATGCGTTGGGAGGCATGTTTCAGTTTGTAGAGGCTCGCAAGGGCCTTACTAGCTATTGCATGTCTTGAGAGAATGTGTCCGTGTAAGCAAAGAAGGTAGTCAAGATTAACGCCAAGGACAGTGACAGGTTTTGTGATTGGGATGTAAGTGCGGGTGCCAGCTGTTCTGAGCTCGACAGGTAATGGAGGATCACGTTTCCTGTAGTTAAAATATGTAATGCTGGATTTAGCTGCATTGGTTTTGATCCTCCAATATTGTTCCTAGATGGCTCTCCTGTCGACCTCATTTTGTGTTTTGTGTGTGAGTGTATCTATATTGGCATGAGTGATAAGTTGTGCAATGTCGTCTGCATAGGCTAGTGTGATGGAGTTGTGATATACAGGTGTTGGAATGTCGTTAGTGTATAAAATGTAGACGGTAGGGGAGAGGACAGATCCCTGGGGTACTCCAGCATTTAGTGTGAAGTAGTCAGAGTAACAGCCTTGGAATTTTATTCTCATGGTACGGCCGTCTAGGAAGTTGCAGAGAAGTTTACTAGTAGTGAGAGGCAGGTTAAAGTTAGTGCAGAGTTTGTACTTGAGCCCCTCGTGCCACAGTGTCAAAAGCTTTTTCAACGTCTTTTGCAACCAGGGCTGTCCTGTTTCTTTGTTTTGTGTTTATGTGGATGTAGTTGAGAATGATGTTAATGGCATCCTGTGTGGATCTGTGTGTTCTGAAGCCAAACTGGCCATCATAAAGTAGAGAGTTGTGTTCCAGGTATCTGCGAAGGCGATGGTTGATGAGTTTTTCAAAGAGTTTTCCTAAAGTTTCGAGGAGGCTGATAAGGCGATAGTTTCTAGATTCAGAGTGGTCTTTTTTGGGTTTAGGAAGAAGGATAGCAGTAGCAGCTTTGAAGAGGGAAGGGAAGTATCCAGAGGCAAGGGAGGCATTGAGGAGGTTTGTGTAGGCAGTAATGATAGAGTCAGGAAGGTGTTTTAGGATAATATGGTTTAGGCCAGAGGCACCAGGAGCCTTGGGAGGAAGGTGTCTGAGGAGAGTTTTAATGTCTGTGTTGGTGAAAGGAGTGTCGAGTTCTTGGGAGGAGGTGAGAGAGTCTAGATGTATGTGGCTATCTGGTGTTGTTTCTTGTGTGTGTGCAGTGTTCCAGTGTTCTATGTTCTGAATGTGTTGAATAACGTTAGGGTGAGGTGGGTGAGGGTGGAAGATGTTCTCCGAGATGTGTTTGAAGATGTTGGTAGCAGTCTGTGGGTCTGAGATGTGTGTGTTGTTGTGGGTGATGTGTTTGAATTTGTTGGTGGGAGTTGTGCCTCTGATTTTTTTGATAAAGTTCCAGAAGGCTTTAGTGTTTTTAATACGCTGTTTGTCTGCTTGTTGTATGAGTTGTGACCAGTGATTGTTGTGGTCTTGGTCTAGGCTGTGTAAAATGTTGTTTCTAAGGTAAGTGAGATCTAATTGGACTTGATTAAATCTATGTGTGTTATAGAGGAAGCGGTTGTGGTAGCAGATAATTAGTCTTCTTGTTCTGAGTGACGGTTTGTAGGAATAACGAGTGGTGTGCGTTTTCTTTGGTATTGCGATGTTGGCTGCTTGTGTAATGGTGTCCTGGATGAGATTACGTTGAGTATCGATGTCAGAGATAGGTTTGTTGTTGTAGTCATAGGTGAGATTAATATTGTCTATGTGTTGTTTGAAAGCATCCCAGTCAGCGTTCTTGTAGGAGAAGGAAGGTGTGGTTGGAATGAGGATAGGGTTGGAGGAGATGTGTAAGATGACTGGGATGTGATCAGAGCCTGTAATAGGGCCAGGTGAGATGCAGTGTTGAAATAGAGAGCTGGCTCGGTTTGCCAGAATGATGTCTGGTTTGCCTTGGCCCATGTGGTTGTAGAAGTTGTTGAAGTCTGGGCCGAGATGAATTAGGTGTTTATGGTTTGTGAAGTTGAGTAACTGGTGACCAAGTTGGTTGTTACTGGTGTGATGAAAGGCGGTGTGTTTGGCATTCATGTCAGCTAGTATGTATGTTGGTGTGTTGGTGTAGTTGAAGACTAAGGAGAGGTCGTGTATGTTGAGAATAGTGTTTGGGCGAGCATAGGTGGTGAAAAAGATAAAGGGGCCAAGGTGGGTGTGTATTCTGACTGCAAGACAGTGTTGGTGAATAAAAGGGATTGGGAGAAATTCGTGTTTTATGTTGGATTTGACAAGGATGGCAACCCCATCGTGGGGATCATAGGGGGACTGTAGTGCAGTATAACCATAATGGCGGATACATTGAGGGGCTTTGAGGCAGGTACTGTTTAGTAAAACAATATCTGGCCTCTCTGCTTCAAGGAGCTCGGTCAGTAGGTGTCTAATTGTATAGTAAGTATAATAAGAACGTATGTTGAACTGAATCACTTTAAACATGATTTAATGATTTCGTCATAGCAAAGTTAATGTCGGGGGAGGAGTTTGGATTAAAGCCCGTGATAGTGGTGTCATCAGTGGATGTGTGTTTGTAGGTGTTATGGACCCGTTTCCTGGAAGGGGAGGAAGATGCCTAACTGTTGCAAATGTGTCTTACCTAACAGCCTGTCGGTATTTTATACCATTTTAATGTTCACTCTGTCAGACACTGCAACACAAGGGTATCTTGGTACAGACCTAAAATCAACTTTGTCTACTTCTACTAGTGAGAATAATAATAATAATAATAATAATAATAATAATAATAATAATAATAATAAGAATAAGAAGAAGAAGAAGAAGAAGAAGAAGAAGAAGAAATAGATGAAAAAATAAAGAAGGGCATAAAACACACAAACTAAATATAAAACATACAAAACTGTTAGTGTAAGTAATACATAAGCATTATAGATCACAAAAAAAAAACAACTAACATGTCTTCTGTAACTTTTTTAGTGAAAGATCTGGACTTGGTGTGACTACCAGATCCTTTTGATATTGGGTGGAATATTGGACAGACTTTCCCTCACTTCTTCCTCGACCGACTATAATCTTTCACTTTTGTTATCTTTTATGTTTGTGAGCAAAGAAAATCGCAGCTCACACAGGTACGATGTGGAAAATTGCTGAAGAATTGCCAGAACTTTTTTCTCAACTTAAGGATATTCATTCTTAATCTCTATCCAGAATTCTTCCTGAGCTTGAGTTTAGTGCTTAGTTTTTATAATAATAATAATAATAATCGTCCAGATGCACTTCCTTGTGCTTTAATTTCAAGTTGCCAACATAGAATATTTCAATTAATTTCTCTTCTTCTGTGAGTCTAAGCTTCGACAGTTTTGATACTGATACAATAAATGAGTTTCTAAACTAGTCATTGTCTTCCGTAAATAAATTTGGGAAATAATACTGATTTTTTTTCTGCAAGTATTTCAAGAAGCTTTAAATCACTACCACGATCCCTTTATTCTTTGCTACAGCAACATGTGGGATCATATACATGTTGCCTTCCTTCACTTTGACAGCCAAAATTCTTAATTTATCTCTCAGAGCATTAATTTTGTTAATTGTTGGCATTATCAGTGGCACATCAGGGCGTCGTGGCACCCCCGAGGCATTATAAGTGTAAACTCTCTGTAAACTCTTTGTAGATAAACCCCCTAGTAAATACACCCCTTGCAAAACCTTTGTACATAAACCCCCTTGTTAACCAATTCTAGATAAACCCCCTTGTTAACCAATTCTAGATAAACCCCCTTGTTAACCAATTCTAGATAAACCCCCTTGTTAACCAATTCTAGATAAACCCCCTTGTTAACCAATTCTAGATAAACCCCTTGTTAACCAATTCTAGATAAACCCCCTTGTTAACCAATTCTAGATAAACCCCCTTGTTAACCAATTCTAGATAAACCCCCTTGTTAACCAATTCTAGATAAACCCCCTTGTTAACCAATTCTAGATAAACCCCCTTGTTAACCAATTCTAGATAAACCCCCTTGTTAACCAATTCTAGATAAACCCCCTTGTTAACCAATTCTAGATAAACCCCTTGTTAACCAATTCTAGATAAACCCCCTTGTTCACCAATTCTAGATAAACCCCCTTGTTAACCAATTCTAGATAAACCCCCTTGTTAACCAATTCTAGATAAACCCCCTTGTTAACCAATTCTAGAATTCTAGACAAACCCCCTTGTTAACCAATTCTAGATAAACCCCCTTGTTAACCAATTCTAGATAAACCCCCTTGTTAACCAATTCTAGATAAACCCCCTTGTTAACCAATTCTAGATAAACCCCCTTGTTAACCAATTCTAGATAAACCCCCTTGTTAACCAATTCTAGATAAACCCCCTTGTTAACCAATTCTAGATAAACCCCCTTGTTAACCAATTGTAGATAAACCCCCTTGTTAACCAATTCTAGATAAACCTCCTTGTAAATTCTTGTAGGTAAACTTTTGTAGATAAACCCTTAGTAGATAAACCCCTTGAAGATAAGCCAATTGTAGATAAACCCCTTGCAGATAAACCCCTTGTAGATAAACCCCTAGCAGATAAATTTCTTGCAAACCCCCTTTGTAAACTCGTTGGTGATCAACCCCTTGAAGATAAATTCCTTGTAAACCCCTTGTAAATAAATCCCTTGTAGATAAACCCCAAGTAAATAAATCTCTAGTAGATTATCCCCTTGTAAATAAACCCGTAACAGATATATCTATAGTAGATAAACCCTTTGTAGATAAACCCCAATAGATAAATCTCTAATATATAAACTCTTTGTACATATACATCTATTAGGTAAATCCCTAGTAGATAAACCCACAATAGATAAACATCTAGTAGAAAAATTCCTAGTGGATAAACCTCTACTTAAAATTTGAATAATGATTTTGTGTACAATCATGTTGCGTTATTTTATCAAGGATAATGATCGGTTATTATTAGTGCTGTTCCTTGTACTGAAGCCTTGAGCAAGCGATAATGAATAATCTTTATTCAGGTAGCAAGTCATGATTATATGAAGGTGTTAGTGTGTGGTGTAGAGTGTCGTCAGTGTAGTAACCCACATTCCTGGCTCTTGGTACGCTGATGTAGTGTCACTCAACCAACAGTTGAACATTTTGAGTCCCTTTTCGACGTAGTTTTCACGAGAGTCTTTGACGTAAGTTCATATATTAAGTTTTCATCTAAACTCTAGAAACTAAAAAGTAAATGTATGGTTTTATGAGTATCTGTATTTCAAGTAATTTTTTGCTCCCTCTAGATGAAAAATAGCGTAATCAAAAATATATGTTAACTGTGTTCTTTATAAGCTCTGTGGGAAACTATTCATTATTTCAACATTTTCTTGTACAGTATATGATGAGGCATCCAAAATATAAGACAAAGTTGTATGAACATTCCTTCTAACAAATTGATAGAAATCTCCACGTATACCTGGAGTATACATGGAGTATACGTGAGTATACCTGGAGTATACCTGGAGAGGGTTTCGGGAGTCAATGTCCCCCCCCGGCCCTGTCTGAGACCAGGCCTCGTGGTGGATCAGGGTCTGATCAACCAGGCTGTTACTGCTGTGAGCACATAAACCGACGTAACAACCACATCCCGGCTGTGGTTTAGGTGCTTATCCAGCGCCTTCTTGAAGACAGCCAGGTGTCTATTTGCAATCCCCCTTATGCGTGCTGGGAGGTAGTTGAACAGTCTTGGGCCCCTGACACTTTCTGTGTAGTCTCATGGCTCCCTTTCTTTTCATTAGGGGAATGTTGCATCTCCTGCAGAGTCTTTTGCTTTCGTAGGGGGTGATTTTCGTGTGCAAGATTGGTACTAATCCCTCTAGGATTTTCCTAGTGTATATTATCATCTACCTTTCTCGCCTGGGTTCCAAGGAATACAAATCAAGGGACTTAGACCGTTCCCAGTAATTTAGGTGCTTTGACATACTTATATGTGTCGTGAAAGTTCTCTGCACATTCTCCAGGTTAGTGAAGATTGAAGATCTAAAGACTTTTAACAGTTTGTGACAGTGAAATGTACTCTTAACCTTTCTCACCAAGAAACTTCAAGAATCTGTATTCTTCGGTATTTTGTTTTTCATCTATTGTTAATAAGGTTATGATTCAGTTACCTGTAGCCCGCGAACTGAAGATGAGAGGTTCATTAACTTTCACTGCATTTTTTACAGAAACTTAATTCGGCAACTGCCCTAGACGATCTGATAATGGAAAAAGTTATTTCGCATTTCATTTCCATTCGTTTATTAGCTGTTAAATGTTCCAGCCCATTTCACTTAAATTCTTGGTGAGTTTTGTTATTAGCATTTATCATAAGTGCTATGATCGAACTTGGTTTAAAATTTGAGGTATTGGGCTAAACAACCTGCGATTTCACTGGTAACCTTATTAAATCTGTTTAGGTGATTGTTTACAAATCTCACATTATCCAGATTTAAGCTAAGATTACTGGACGAAGAATTTCGTGGAAAATAATCTGAAAAGCATTTTGGTTATGTTGTACACAAGGAGGAGGTCGTTAGTTGGTAAGTTTCTTCATGCAGTCATCCTCCTCATCTATAATAGGCCTATAGGGCAGAAGAGTCTTAATATATTAAGAAGGAAATGAAGGAAATGCCCTGAATGTAGGCCAATGCTAGTGGAAGTAGATCTTGTCTATACATCAGAGAAATACTGAAGAAATTCCTTGCATCAAAATCCCAAGATGTTGTTGTATCTGACAGGATGCAGGAATTTCTTCAAAACATTTATAACCTATTGATACAACTTACTATCACTAGTGGTATTCTCCACTAATGACTAAGGCAACAGTGCTCTATGTGACCTGACTTAAATGAAGACCACCTCATAACTGGTTAAACATAGAATGGATAGCAGAACCTGTCTAGCACAGGTCAGCAAGTAAACTACAGTGTTCATAAATCTTTTGGTAATATAAAGTATCTTTTGTTTTCAGGTAATAAAACTATTTAAAACAGCTTAGTTTTTAAGGCCTTTTCTTATCAAATGACTCACGAAATCGTAATGACACGATTGCAAACAAACCATAACCCGGCCGGGATTGAACCCGCGGTCAGAGAGTCTCAAAACTCCAGCCCGTCGCGTTAGCCACTGGACCAGCTAGCCACAATAAGATTCATCCAACTAGGTATATTTCTACACCATAGGAAGGTTAGCACAGGCACCACTGTGACCACAAATGCAAGTTATTTTGAGTCATGTTGACGGCAGTGAAGGGACTTGAGCTAGAGTTCGTCACGGCCACGCTAGCTGGAGATTCGTCTGAAAAAACTTGCATTTGTGGTCACAGTGGTGCCTGTGCTAACCTTCCTATGGTGTAGAAATATACCTAGTTGGATGAATCTTATTGTGGCTAGCTGGTCCAGTGGCTAACGCGACGGGCTGGAGTTTTGAGACTCTCTGACCGCGGGTTCAATCCCGGCCGGGGTATGGTTTCTTATCAAATGTTTGTCTTTGCTATGATTATCCCGGGGATGGTAGAGATGCACAGTTTGAGATTTATTTTTATATATTCGAGAAGCGCTAAACTCGTAAGATAACTATGTTTAATCAATGAGAGTGAGAGTAGTTTGTTATTCTAGGGTCAAGAGCCTTGACACGCATGAAGGCATCATTTTCTTCCTTTGCGTGGTACTAATGCAACTGTACTGTAGTACATTCCAACATAAGAACATGAGAGAGAAGGAAGAGTGCAGTAGGCCTACTGGCCCATGCGAGGCAGGTCGAAGTCGCCTAACGGCTTATACCACTGACTCATCCTCGTCAGGTCCAGGTCACATCAGCTTAAAGGAAGGCGCACGGCATCAGACCTACTAGCACAAGCTAGTCAGGTCCAGCTCACTCCCACCCACACCAGCTCATGTATTTATCTAACCTGTTTTTAAAACTACACAACGTTTTAACTTCTTTGACGGTACTTGAGAGTTTGTTCAACGCTGTGAGTCCTGTCTTAGCTAGCTATTTTTAGCACGCTGTTTACATTCTCTTTATTTATTTGTTTTCCATTTATACACCTCAGTCATGTCCTCCATAATTCCACGCCTTTCTAGAGAGTGCAGATTTAGGGCCCTCAGTCTATCCTAATAGGGAAGATTTCTGATACGTGGGATCAACTTTGTCATCCTCCTCTGTACTTTGACCAGTGTATATACTATATCCAATCTGTGATAAAGTGACCAGAACTGCGCAACATAATCTAAATGAGGCCTAACCAAAGATAAATAGAATTGAAGAGCAACCTGAGAACCTCTGTTATTTATACTTTCTGAAATGAAGCCAAGGATTCTGTTCGCTTTATTGTGAATACTATAGCACTGTTGTCTTGGTTTCAGATTAAAGTTAACTAAAACTCCTAAATCCTTTTTGCAATGAGTAATACAGTGGTACCTTGACTTACGAGTTCCCCAACTTATGAGTTTTCCGAGTTACGAGCCTTCGCTCAGTCGATTTTTTGCTTTGAGTTGAAAGCCAAAATCTGAGTTTCGAGCGAACTTCAGATATGCCACCAATCGCAGGAAAGAGGAAATATCAAAAACCTCGATAATAACCAATGTGTAACATCCTTTCAATTTTGATACCACTGGTAGAGTCGTCCTGCCAGAATGTTCTATAATGTATGCCCTGAGTAAAGAAAAACAGTACTGAAACATGTGTAATACATGTTTGGCAGGCTGTCTGGTTGGGTGGCCGGTTGGCTGGCTGATTTGCTTTGACTGTCTCTATCTCCTTCTATCTATCTATATCTATCTCTATCTCTGTCTATCTGTCTCTGTATCCATCTCTATCTCTGTCTCTATCTCACATGTACACATAAATACAGGTATACATAGTGCAAATTACCTAGGATAACCCCAAAAATCCAAACAAAGTGCTGAACTATGCTTGTAGATGTAAGGCATAATAAGCATGACTGGCAAGTAATGCACATTTTCATTTGTTCAGGAATCAGACATTAACGACTCTGCATCGTGTATAATACCTGTTGGTTCATGAACAGCTCTCTCTCTGAGACAGAGAGACAAGTAGAGAGACAGGAAGCAGAAACACAGACAGACAGAAAAAAACAGATAAGCAGACAGAGATAAACATAGAGCTAGACAGACAGATAGACAGACAAATAGAAAATTAGAAACAGATAGAAACAAACAGATAGACAGACATTTTTATGTGTAACCGTGAAAAATAAAGCCAAGGCAGTGCACGATCATTAAATGTCACTCCACGAGTGTCACTCCACAGGCAGTGGAGTGACACTCATCTTACACGGTGCTTCAATGAGTTTCATATATACTCCAGGATTTCTGAAACATTGTTGGGACCTGGCGAAAAAGACAAAAATCATTTCTTATTTATAAATACATGTTTCATATTTAAAAACCCATAACAAAAAAATTAGTGTGGTTTCATGGGGGCTGTAACGGATTAATGGTATTTCAATTAATTTCCATGAGGGAAAGTAATTTGATATACGAGAAAACTGAGTTACGAGTTTGGTCACGGAACGAATTAAACTAGTAAGTCAAGGTACCACTGGACTAATGTCTTTATTATTTAGTTCATATGCGGCATGATTATTTTCCTGTCCAACATTTAGAACTTTACATATGTCAGTATTAAACTTCATCTGTCACTCCTCCGACCACTGCATCAGTTTATTCAAATCATCCTGGAGTGCTCTAATGTCCTCATTAGAATGAATTGGATGGCTTATTTTGGTGTTATTAGCAAATTTGCTTATGTCGCTTTTTATTCTCTCATCATGTCGTTTATGTAAATTGTGAACAACAAGGAGCCCAACACTGACACCTGTGGAACACCACTTGTGACGTGCTCGCACTCTGATTTCTCCCCATTTATGCAGACTCTCTGCTGCCTATTTGTCAATTTTGCCTCTACCCAGGAAAAAAATTTCTCCTCCAACTCCATTTGCCTTAAGTTTCCTCAATAGCCTCTGATGTAAAACTTCATCGAAAGCCTGATCGAAGTCCATATACACAATATCATATTCATTAGCATGATCTACCTCCTCAAATACCTTAGTGAAAAAAAGTAAGTAAATTCGTAAGGCAGGAATGCCACTTTGCAAAACCGTGTTGAGATTCATTAATCAATTTATGCCTTTCAAGAT